TGAGATTTCTGTGCTTTGATTTTCTTTTGTAGGTTCTGAGACATTTGTTGTACCTAATGCGCATTTCAGAGAAGTCTATCCAAAGACGAGTTGCTCTCGCTCTTGCTCATCTCTGTTCACCAGAGGATCAGAGAACCATATTCATAGATGACAATGGCATGTGCTAGCTTTTTGAATTTATAATGTTAATACTTTTAGCGCGCTAACTATTCAGTTTAGATGTTCTTTGTGCCAAAAGTTTTAAATCGAGTTGTATTTTTAACAGGGTTGGAGTTGCTACTCAGTCTTCTTGGTTCTACAAACACTAAGCAGCAACTTGATGGTGCTGCAGCGTTGTACAAATTAGCAAATAAATCTATGGCACTTTCTCCAGTTGATGCTGCTCCTCCTTCTCCAACACAAAGGGTGAGGTTTCCTTCTTGCTTCAGTTCTCCAATACTTAGGGATGGAAGTCTCAATGCAGTATTCTGTTTGTCTTTTTGTGACAGGTTTATCTCGGAGAGCAATATGTAAATAATGCTACGCTGTCTGATGTAACTTTTCTAGTCGAAGGTAATCATATTAATCCGGAAGTTGCAGCAATCTTGTTAGCTCCAAATTCTATATGTAAAGCAGAAAAATCATACTGCAGGAAGGACATTCTACGCACACAGAATTTGTCTGCTGGCATCCTCAGATGCATTTCGTGCAATGTTTGATGGTGGTTACAGAGTAAGTGAAATTTTGTTGACCAATCCTTTTCATATCGTTCTTGTGGAGGAAATGAAAAATATCATTACTAGCTATGATGACCTATGTGTTTATGCTGCTCTGCTCTCTTTTAGGGGAAACCGTTAATAAATACGTATCTTATACACGCAAATTAGAGCAAAAAAATCTGATTCAGTTTGTATTTCGGTTATACCGCAGGAAAAAGACGCTAGAGATATTGAGATTCCGAATATTAAATGGGAGGTTTTTGAGTTAATGATGAGGTATGACGAGCTTCTACAGGGGTTAATCTGTGAGAACTGTTCATTCATATACATGGAAATGACTCGCACTTGGATTATGATGTTCAGGTTTATATACACTGGATCGGTCGACATAACAATTGAGATAGCGCAAGATCTTCTAAGAGCAGCGGATCAGTATCTCTTGGAGGGGCTGAAGCGACTCTGTGAATACACAATTGCTCAGGTGAGCCAGAATCACTGCAATGAATTTTGATGTGGTTTGCATAATAAGTATACGAAATCTGACACGGTGGTTGCTTATGAATGAAAGGATATAACGTTGGAAAACATAGGAAGCATGTACGATCTCTCAGAAGCATTCCACGCAATGTCGCTGAGGCAAGCTTGTATCTTGTTCATCCTGGAGCATTTCGATAAACTAAGTTCAATGCATGGGTAATATAAATTAGCTCTTTCTCTCTATCTCTCTCTTTCTAGGGCCAGTTATCTGAAACATATAGTGGATGGAAAATGCAGGCAGAACGAGCTGGTGCAGAGAACAATTCCAGAGATAAGAGAGTACTTTTGTAGAGCTCTAACAAAGTCTACTACAAACCTGCAGAGCTTGAGGTTATAGACTGTGGAAGAAGAAGAAGAGGAAGAAGAAGAGTGCACCTAACTAGAGAGGTAAGTAGACAAGGAACATAGAGAGAGAGAAAGAGAGAGCCCGTTATTAGAGGTCTTTATCGTCCCTGTCCTATCCTGAGTTGTTTTAGTAATTTGCTGTGCGTTTGGTTTATTTTGGTCGTTGTATTGTCTTGTATTGTATTAGTCGCTTCTGATTACGATCGGTCTTCAAAGAGATCGCCACATTGTATCCAAAGCACCATTTTGGTAAAACTTCCATTATTCAATTCGAAATCCACGCTCCAGCGATCCCCTGTGTTGAAGACGAGATACTAATGAGTTGTTCTCGTCTGAATGATTAATCACATCAGATAACCCAACTGATTTTATTCGAGGAATCGATATACACAGTATAAAAGAATTAAAAAAATGGCTGACATCTGGTGAACTTATTGCTACTCTCATATTTGGAATATATACGTATTTTTATATTTTTATTATTGTAATACAGAAAATAATAGTGTAAAATTATGATATACATTTTTATTCGGAATAATAATAATAAAATACAACAATTAGAAAGAAAAAAAAATGAAAAATATTCTCTTACAACTTAACGTTGATTCTAATTTACTCTGTTTTCTTCCAAGTGGATAAATGATAATTGTATTTGGTGAGACACGATGTAATATTATTATTAATTTATTTATTTGCCTGAATAAATTATGTTGGACAGTCTAGTACAGTCGTGGGAGGGAGATTTAATTTAAGGAGAGCTCCGGTGAAAATTTTCTTTCTGGGGATACACGAACCAGAAACCCTAACACCTCATTTCGCAGCCAGAGTGTGTCGGAGCTTCGAGATTCAGCCATTCCTCATCGGTTAGGTACGCGTTTTTCTTTTGTTTATCTCATCGCATACGGAGACTTTTGTCGGATCCGATGCTACTCTATGACTAGAACCGCTGTTCCTTCCTCGGATTTCGCGGTTATATGCTTCTTCTCTCGAAATCTCCGATCTTCACGATTAATTTCCTTAATCTCTATTATAGATTTATGCACATCATTTCGTGGTTTAATATAATTGGATTCAGTCTGATAATTTTGCTTTTTCCAATTTATCAATCAAGCCTTTCTGCTCTCGAAACTGTGATTTTATTTACGATGCAGTGGGTGATTCCTCTGGGCGCAATGTTATTGTCTTTTTGTTTGATTACAGTTACATCCATAGAGCCTCCTCTGATTATCTCTAGCTTGTGTGTTTGCAGTGATACAAACTCTCGATTCGTGAGACCATGTCTTCTGATACACTTGATTCCCGTCCTCATGCATTCTCGATTAAGCTGTGGCCGCCGAGTTTAGCTACAAGGCAAGCTCTCATTGAGCGCATCACCAACAACCTCTCTTCAAAGACCATTTTCACTGACAAGTACGGCAGCTTAACCACGGAGCAGGCTATGGAGAATGCCAGGAGGATCGAGGACATTGCCTTCTCCACTGCAAACCAACAGTTTGAGAGGGAACCCGACGGTGATGGCGGTTCTGCTGTGCAGCTCTATGCCAAAGAATGCAGTAAGCTGATCTTGGAAGCTCTCAAGAAAGGGCCTGTTGCTAAGGTTGCCACAAGAGAATCTTCCATCCCTGAAGAGCCTGCTTCTCCCCGTGAAACTTTTTTCGACATCTCCAAAAGCAAGCGGGCTTTTATTGAGGCTGATGAGGCTGAGGAGCTTCTGAAACCGTTGAAGGAATCTGGGAATGCTTACACTAAGATATGCTTTAGCAACCGGAGTTTCGGAGTAGGAGCTGCTCGTGTCGCTGAGCCTATCTTGGCGTCTCTTAAAGATCAGCTTAAGGAGGTTGACTTGTCGGACTTTGTCGCTGGAAGACCCGAGGTTGAAGCTCTTGATGTTATGAAAATATTTTCGAATGCACTGCAAGGCTGTGTCCTCTCATCTCTCAACTTATCAGAGAACGCATTGGGTGAGAAGGGTGTTAGGGCATTTGGGACGCTCTTGAAATCTCAGAGCTCTTTGGAAGAGCTGTATCTGATGAATGATGGTATCTCTAAAGAAGCTGCACAAGCGGTCTCCGAGTTGATTCCTTCAACAGAGAAGTTGAAGGTCCTTCAGTTTCATAACAACATGACGGGAGATGAAGGAGCGGTTGCAATTGCAGAGGTTGTCAAGCGTTCGCCGCTGCTGGAGAATTTCCGGTGTTCTTCCACAAGAGTCGGCTCAGAAGGGGGAATCGCTTTGTCAGAAGCGCTTGAGCATTGTACTCGTTTGGAGAAACTTGATCTGCGGGATAATATGTTTGGCACAGAAGCTGGAGTTTCTCTGAGCAAAACTCTTTCAAGCTTCAAACAATTGAAAGAGCTTTACCTGAGTTATCTAAATCTAGAGGATGAAGGTGCCATAGCCATAGTAAACGCTCTCAAGGAGTCTGCTTCCCCCATTGAAGTACTTGAGATGGCAGGAAATGACATAACAGTTGAAGCCGCTTCGGCTATCGCAGCCTGTGTAGCAGCAAAACAAGATCTGAACAAGTTGAATCTGTCTGAGAATGAGCTGAAAGACGAGGGATGTCTCCAGATTGCAAAGAGTGTGGAAGAGGATCATTCGAAATTGCAATACATCGATATGAGCAACAACTACATAAGAAGAGCCGGAGCAAGGGCCTTGGCTAATGTTGTGATCAAGAAAGAAGCTTTCAAGCTGTTGAACATCGACGGGAATATCATATCGGAGGAAGGGGTTGAAGAAGTTAAAGAGATATTCAAGAAATCCCCAGAGTTACTTGGAGCTTTGGACGAGAACGATCCTGATGGAGAAGAAGAAGATGATGATGAGGAAGACGAAGAAGATGAAGAGAAAGAAGGTAAGGGGAACGATGAGTTGGAAACAAAGCTGAAGAACCTCGAAGTCAATGAGGATGATTAAGTCTCTGTATTGTTGGTACTTTACAATGTCTATCGTTTGTTTTGTACCAGGATTACTTTAGCTGCTGTTGCTGCTACAAAGAACAAAAATATTAAGACTTGGGTGTTTGTTTTGATTTTTGCCGATATCTTATTAAACCTCTTTTTATATTTCTGCTATTGGTTTGTCGATCTATTCAATATATAAAATTGAGAAATTGAAACAAAACTGATTCTTTTTTTATTCAATGCGCCACCTCATTACCCAAACTCTGGTAGTAACAGGGGAAGGAACTAGAACACTCGCATGATTTCAACACTTGTTGTGCAAAGCAAGAAGAAGCTTGATCCTTTATGCTTGAAACCAAACTTCATTTGGTAATTCTTTAGGGATTATGTTCTAAACTCATGATGGTCTTGCGTAAATGTAATACTGATGTTTCCACTAGGTTTACTCTCACAGTAACTTGCATAGATATGCAGAAACATATACTCAAACTGTTTGTGGAAGAAGATAGTCACTGAAGAAAGAAGATACCCAAAAAATGCATTTCATAGATAAGCTTATCTGAATGTATATATGGGGTCAACTGAGGAAATCAAAAAGAAAGAAGTTTCATGGATTTATATCGAAATCCACCAGCAACAGAACAAACAATACGAAGAAATCAAAACCCCAAATTTCGATTTCATACAATCAAAAGCAACAACATCAGATTCTCCTACCCCTTCTAGTGGAGACAGCTTTCATCGCGCTCACGGCCACGTTCAAAGGAAGCGGTGGCTTCCTGTTCTCCTTCGTCATGCTCCTCAGTGAATACCTCGGCGTCGTCTCAACCATGGAGACGGTCTGTTTCTTAGAGGTTCCTCTCCTCTTGGTGGTCATGGGCTCATGGTTGACTCCGAGATTGTAAGGAGTTCCTTTGATCAGTCCCTCGAGAGCAGCTTCACCTCCTTTCTTCCTCCTCAATCGCTCGTTCCTCTTGGCCGAATACTCATCGTAGAACCTCCCTCTCTCGAACACCGGAACAGAGTTTGTAGCCAGATTCTCCAGATTCGAACCCGCGGCTCTGGATTTCGTGTCCTCTTCTTCTTCGGCAAACTCTTTCTCGACCATTTTCGCTAGCGCGTGTATCTCGCTTGAGATTGACGAGTATTCAAGCGGGAGTTTCGATCCCAGATCCGCATCGCTCAGTCGTCGTGCCGGGTTCTGGTACTTCGTCAGACCTAATCATCGAATTTCTTGAGTACCGAGAGAGAGAGATTGATCGGGAGATGAAATTGGGATTCGATTAGATAAATGGGAGAAAATTGAATAAAATACCTGGAGGTGTTTGCAGAGATGATGAAGAAGAGTGAGAGAGGAGGACCTGGCGTGATCGGAGACGGATGGGAGATTTGGGAAGCGGTGGTTTCAGGTAAGAAGATCTCATCCTCGACATCTCCAAAACCCTTTTTTTTTCTTTTTCACAGAGATTCAAATTTTCTCAAGAGACAGAAGAGAGAGAGATTTGTTTGCTTTATTATCTTTTTTTGGAGGAGCGCCCTTCTAACGGTTGTATTTACTTGATCCGACGGCTAAGATTGGTCCAGATTTCAAATGGAAGGGTTTTAATTTTTTTTTTGTCATCGGGTTTTAAATAGAAGGAGATGCAATAATGTTGAACCGTTTTAAAAACATTACATCAGTATTAGAGATAATTTACCTTGTTGGGAGGATTCGCCGTAAATTTTAGGAATGGCTAAATATGGTACGAAGACTAGGAGAGTAGACAAAAAGCTGGTCTTGTTATATGAGCTGACATTTTATGTAAATTTAATTCTTTGTTATCCAAATTTGAGCTTGATCCATCGGTGGAAAGTAAGTGTCTATCATCACAAAAAGCCATTAAAAAAACTCTTTATTTTTTACTTTTGTAGGTTTATTACACTGAAAATATAGATCTGCGTTGACAAGATAGTTTATAGAGGGTAAATGTAGTTGTACTGGACACAAACGCAAATCGTAAAAACATATTGTTGTTAACAGAAACAATGGCATTTTGATCCAGTAGGAAGTGGTTTGCAAAAACCGCCTTTCTTGTTGTCACATCCTTGAAGACACCAAGTATTGCATCTCTCATTGTCTTGGGGAATTTTGCATGGTCCAAATTTCGGATGTGTATTACAGCACAACGAACTGTTGTCGGAACCTTCAACATCTATAAAAATGCAAACAAACATTTACACACGTAGAGAGATTCAAACATTTTTTTTATATATAAACTATATGGTAATATCTTATTATATATATTTGGTGCATCTCTCATGCGATTCCAACACGTAACAAACTTCTATATTAACAAAATCAATTAGGTTTTATACTTGGATGACACAAAATATAATAAGTTTGTAGAGTGTATATATGGTGAGAGAGAAAGAGAGACAAACCAATAGTAAACAGAAGAACAAGTAGCATAGCTAGAGACACGATTTTCATGGTGGTGCTCATCTTCTTGATCTTCTTCTCCTCCCTACGAGCTTAGTTTTTCTTCTTCTTTTTTACTGCTTTTTTGTTTTGTTTTTACTGCTTTGGACTGGAGTACTCTTCCATCTATTTATCCTATATCTTGCCAACATTTTACAAAAAGAAGCTAATGCTATTTCCTCATTAGATGGATCATAAATTCCATTCAATCCTTATTATATAGATACACATAGCTGTTAATTATTTGAATATTTAGATTTGTTTCTTTTTTTTCTTTCGTTTTTGAAAGAAATCCTTTTTGTCAGCTCATCCTAGATTTTATAAAGAATTTTTGTCAGCTCATCCAACATATTACAAAAAAAAGCTAATGCTATTTCATCATTAGATGGATCAGAAATTCCTTTCACTTCTAATTATAGATATACATAGCTGTTAATTATTTAAATATTTAGACTTGTTTCCTTTTTTCTTTCGTTTTTGAAAGAAATCTTTTTTTGTCAGCTCATCCTGGATTTGATTAAGGTAGTTTTTTTTAAAGAAATTCTTTAAAATGATCCAAAAACTAGTTTTGGTTTATAAACTATATCATAATTTTTTTCACATAAACTAGTTATATTACCCTCATTTAAATAATATACTGATTTAATTAATAAACTAAAAATTTATTTTAGAATTTTCATCTTCATACTAAAAATTTCTAACGCCGTCATCCACCATTTCTAAAATCACTTACCAAGTATTCGATTCGTATTATCTCCAATCAAATCTCCGTTCATCATTCAGATCATCTCATATAATCTCCATTTATTATCGGAAAAGAGAAAGAACCAATGCTCTTTCAGGATCTCATCAATGGTGATCTTTTTCTCGAGATTGATATCAAAGAGATAAATTGTTTTAGATTTAATTTCAGATTCAAAGTTTATTCTATTTAATCACCACAAAATTTACTATGAGCGGTAGATCCAGTATAGAAAACTCCAATCTGACTGAAAAAGCTGAATCCGAGTTGGCATGTAAAACATCTCCAAAATCCCTTTTTCCACAGAGATTCAATTTTTCTCAAAAAACCGAGAATATAGAGATTGAGAGAGAGTTTATTTGCTTTATTATCTTTTTTGGAGGAGCGCCCTTCTAACAGTTGTATTTACTTGATCTGATCGTTAAGATTGGTCCAAATTTCAAATGGAAGGGTTTTTTTTTTCGGGGTCAAATAGAGGGAGATGCAATAGAATGTTGAACAGAGGTCAGAATCTCTTCTTATCTGATATTCGAAGCATGTCCTTTCCATGTTGATCTGTCTACCGTTTTTAAACATTACATTTTTATTAGATTTATTTTACCTTGTTGGGAGGATTCACCTTAAATCATATATATAATTAGGCTAAACTCTCTCTAATGTAGCAATCCACATTAACAATTTATTTTTATTTTTTATGAATTTTTAAATTTTAATTTTTATGGACTTTTATTTTGTACATAAATACTTTACAAACAACAAATAAAAATTTTAATGGGCTTTTACATACACATTTGTTAGATATTCATATGACATAATAAAAAAATTTAAAAAAACAAACACTTATTTTACAAGCCACAAAAATATAAAGTATCTACAAATTAAAAAACTAGAATGTTATTTCAAATAAGAAATAAAGAAATTGTGTGAGATTGATGGTCAATTTATTTTGTTAATCTCTTCAAAAATAAACGGCATATAAAAAAATAAATAAAATTATGGAGAGAAAAGCTATAGATACATACGACAACATATAAATATAAGATCGAGTTTTTAAACAATTAACACATAATATTTTTAGATAAAAAATATTTTTATATTAATTAAAAAACTAAAACAGCATTTAAAATCAAAATTGAACAGAAAAAATATTAAATAGATAAACATAATAGTAATTTAGAAATATGATTTCAATTAAGAAATAAAGAGATTTTGTGGGATTGATAGTAAATTTCTTCTGTTAATCTTGCTCAAAATAAAAACCAATTGAATAAAAATATTCAGTAAAAAAATATAGAGAATATGGAAAAAGAGTTGGAAGACGAACAAATATAAAAGATGACACAAGATAATAGTTATCAAACTTAAAGAAAAAACAAAATCTCAGAAATATTATGTATAAACTAAAATAAAATCATTCATATAAATACATATTTTACAAACAAAAAAACTACAAAGTCTCTACGAAATAAATAATTCAAAAGGTTCTTTTAAATATAAACAAAGAGAATGTGAAAAAAAGTTGGAAGACAAATAAATACAGTAGATGATGAATGAGTTTTTGGAGTTATCAAACTTAAAAAAAAATCAAAAATATTTATGCATAAAAGAAAAGTATAATTATATATATCTACTTTAGTGTGAACAATTAAAAGAAAGTATTATATGATTCAAGAAGTCAAAAGTGTTTAATCATATAGTATAGAAATGAACTTGATCTATAATAAGGAGATAAAAATAAGAAATGCGTGACTATTTGTGTCTTAAAATGAATTAGAATTTCAGAGTTTATGAAAAATAATTTTTTTTTTATTTAAAATAAGTGAAATGTATGGTGAATTCATATTGTTGATCTTGTTGAAAATATATATTATAAAATAATTTACAAAATTGAATATAGATATAAGTATAATAGAGATATATATATATATATTCTTATGACAGTATATAAGTATATATATTTTTTTAACAATTAACACATATTAATTTATATTAAAAATTAACTTCACAATAAATCTATATATTACGATACTAAAAAAATCCAAATATTATTTATAACTAAAAAAACAAAAAATAATTAAAAACAATACAAATTGACTAAAAGTAAACATAATATATATATAATTATAAATTATGAAATTGATTCACAAATAATTTTGTGCAACACAACGTAATCTATAAAATATAAAAATAGATTAACAAATAATTTTTTGCAATACGTATGTCAAATCTAGTTTTATAAATGGGCTAAATATAAGCTGGCCTTGCCATTTTGAAGGATAGACAAATACATCTTGGATGAGCTGACATTTATGATTTTATGTAAATTTTACTACAATAAAACAATTAAAAAGTTATATTAAATAAATTAATAATTACTATAAATTAATAAATTTTATTGATTTTAAATTGAACCAGTGTAAAAATTAGTAAATTTTGATAAAATATAAGATAATATTTTTTTGAAACTCCTATGTAGAAATATGAATCTAATAGTTAGATAAATTGATAATTATATATATTTAGATATCTATAAATAATTCAATATAATTATATTGTTGTCTCAAATTTATAAATGTTGTTTGATTTATCTTTCAAATTCATTAATATGATATTTTACTAATGGATTTTAAATTGTTAATTTTTTTTTTGTTTTGGATGAACATCAAAAAATTGAAATGAAAAATATATCTATAAATCAATAAAATATTTTGATAAAGTATTAAAATTTTAAAATTTTAAAATTATTAATTTATAATAGTTTTACTGTAATTGGTATCCAAAATAGAGCTTGATCCATCGGTGGAAATTAAGCCCATTACATAGAGCTATAATAAACTCTTTATTTTTTACCTTTGTACTGTAATCTAGATCTACGTTGACAATGTAGTTGTACTCGACACAAACGCAAATCGTAAGAACATATTGTTAACAGTAACAATGGCATTTTGCTCCAGTAGGAAGTGGTTTGCAAAAACCGCCTTTCTTGTTGTTACATCCTTTAAGACACCAACTATTGCATCTCTTCTTGTCTTGGGGAGTTTTGCAGGTTCCAAATTTCGGATGTGTATTACAGCACAACGAACTGTTGCCGGACTCGTACCCTTCAACATCTATAAAATGCAAACAAACATTTTTCACCTTTAGGAACCTCTCTCATGATAGAGTCAGACAAAATCTTATATATAATAATTTATGCTATATAGTAATATCTTATAATATTTTTGGTGCCTCTCTCATGCGAATCCAACACGTAACAAACTTTATCTACTATATCCAAAAGATTAGTAGTAAAACATTAAAGTTTTATTGTGAGAGAGAGAGACGTACCACTAGAAAAAAGAAGAACAAGTAGCATAGCTAGAGACACGATTTTCATGGTGGTGCTCATCTTCTTGATCTTCTTCTCCTCCCTATGAGCTTAGCTTTTTGGTTTTTGTTTTTTAATGCTTTGGACAGGAGTACTCCTATATTGCCAATATATTATAAAAAGAAGCAGATGCTATTTCCTTATTTGATGGATCAGAAATTTCTTCCACTCCTAATTATAGATATATATATATATATAGCTATTAATTGTTTAAAGATTTTAGGAGGGTTATTGGGAGATAAAGTTATAATGTTTTGATTGATTTTAAGAGTTGAAAAGATTTGTTAAATTTGGAAAGAGTTGTTTATTTAAAAAATCTATGAAATATTTTATTATAATGATTTTGGAGGGTGCATTGAAACTAAAATTTTAGGAAATTTGAAAAGATTTGAGTTTTAATGAAATTTTAGATGATTTTATGTGGATTAGGGAAGTTGATATGATTTGATATTAAAATTACATGAAATCTCACCTAAAACAATGAGATTTGATTTTCAATATTTTTAACTAACAAACTCCACCAAATCATTTAAAAATACTCAATATTTTGTAAAATCTACTATTTAAAATATTTCCAATAACAGTGGATTTGATTTAGGTTTTACAAATTCTTGATTGAATAACATGGATGTTGAAGTGATTTTAATTGGTTTTATATAAATTTTATATTCAATAACATAGATTTTGGTAAGACATTTAGAAATCATTATTTGAATAACATAGAATTTTAAAATAACCACAAATTCTTCTAAAATTTTAGTTTTAATACACCCTCTTTTGAGAATCTAATCCATATATATAATATTTTGAAAGTCTTCAAAAATTTTGTTTTATATATGATTTAAATTGTTTAAAATCTATTTCCTAATAACATAAGATTTTAATAGAATCATAAAATCTAAACTTTTTGAATAACAAAAGATTTTGGATATAATTTTAAAATCTTTAAACCAATAACAATAGATTTTAGTAAAATTTTAAGAATCAATAAACAAATAACGATAAAATCTCAAAATTCTCAAAATCTACATAAATTTCTCCCCCAATAATTCACCCTTAAATTTTTTTCTTTCGTTTTTGAAAGAAATCCTTATGTCAGCTCATTCCAGAATTATAGTTTTCAATAGGTATCTCAAACTCAAAAAAAAAAAAAAATGTATAAGAGAAAAATGAATGGGTATCTCAAATGAAAACTTGTGAAATACCCCTAAAAACCCCTTTAAACACATGTCACATTTTAATTAGTTGAATTCTCTTCCGTTTGAGCTTCTTATTTTGTTTCTGAGAGGCTTTGAAGCATCCTCTTCTTCTTCTTCCTCTTCTTCTTCACTCTCCATCGCTTCCATCCACTACGACTCGCTTAACGAGTCCCTGTACACCGCTTCTTTTCGCTTCCGCTTACCCGTGACGCTACCAAAATAGGAATTCGAATCCTTGGAGTTGTCTTCTTGAGTCTGTGAAGTGTAAACCCATTCAGGAACTTCCTTTTCTTCCATGAGACGTGTCCTGTAGTTCTCCTTTTGACGTCTTTCCTCGTCCATTTGTTCAAACATCCAAAACTCATCCTCAGTTCGAGCTGCAAGCCGGTTAATCTCTCTTTCACTCGGTACATCTGTCCCTAGTGAGCTCGTTCCTTTCCTCATGATCTCTTCCAGCATCTCTCTCCTGTCTTGAGCTGTCCATGATTCAAAGACATTATTAGCATTTAGTGCAAAATCATGTTTTAGTTGATAAGAGGTGTTTTGACGACTTTTTACCAGTAGAAGTTGTGTTGAAGAGCCCTGCTTGTATGACTTTGGCATCAATGCCCATCTTTTGCTTCGCACGCTCCAATATCACTTCTTCAATGGAGCCAATGCTAACCAAAACAAACACTCTCACTTCCTTCTTTTGCCCTATCCGATGGGCACGGTCCTCCGCTTGCTGGTCCATTTGTGGATTCCAATCGCTGTCGAACATAATAACAGTGTCTGCAGTTTGCAAGTTCAAGCCAAGACCACCTGCACGTGTGCTCAAGAGAAACATGAAGTAGGGAGAGTCCTGTTCGTTAAATTGCTTCTGTGAAACCCCTTTTTGGTCTGGATTTGTGGTACCGTCGAGCCTGAGGTAATCGTAACCATTGAGTGTCAAGTAAGTTTCGAGAAGGTCGATGACACGAGTCATTTGAGTGAAGAGAAGAACTCTGTGTCCGGCTCTTTTCAGTTTAGGAAGGAGGCGATCAAGTAGCTCAAATTTCCCTGAAGCTCTCACAATCTCTGGCGTACACATGTTATACTCTCCTCCAATATCGAATAGGTAGGGATGGTTACAACACTTTCGTAATTGCATTGTCAGATTCTTCAGACTCTTTGGTTTCCCATTCCCTGCTCATAGGGACTTCCATTAGCAACTTTGCAGTTTTACTTCATTTGGATAATTTTCTTTGATACCGAAAGATGAAAACATCTTGCAAGTTAAAAAAGTTAAAGCTACAAACTAACCCGAATAAAGGCCAACGCTGCCTTTTTCTGTAATTTGTTTGTAACGCAATTTTTGCCAAGCCGACATATCACACTTCAGTATGACTTGTGTTTTCCCAGGAAGGAATTTCTCAACTTCATTTTTTTTCCTTCTCAGTAGGAACGGCCTAATGACCTGAAAGTGACATTAAACATTAGCGAATTTGCTTTAAGAAAGTTATTTTAAGCAAAAGATTGGTGCATAGTAAACTCACATGATGCAGGCGATTAATATACAACAATTCATCCTCATCTGTAAGACTGACAGTACCACGTTTTGCGAAAGGAGGATTAAACCATTCTTCGAAATTCTGAACCGAGTTAAAGATCTGAGGAAGGATAAAATTAAACAGCGACCATAGTTCTTGCAGACTGTTCTGTATGGGAGTCCCAGTTAGTAGAAGTCTGCGGTTAATACGATATCTGCATCCAGGACAAAAAAGTGTTAGCAAAATGTATTAAAATTTCCTCTGTGACAGCACCCTTTAATAGACAAATCAGAGTAACAACCAATCAACACCATTCACTACAGACTTCAATCAAGCTAAAGGCGTTATAAGGCTTGTCTAAAAAACCATAGATTCATGCAGAAACATACTTTGTTACTAGAGTCTTTCCGAGAGTACATTCATGGTTCTTCAGCCGATGCCCTTCATCAACAATCATGTAGTTCCATTCAATTTTCTTCAAAAACGTTTTGTCTTTCAGGATAAGATCGTAGTGGGTTATCAGCACGTGAAATTTTCCTCCCCCATTTATTTTTGCTTTAATTTCCTTCCTTTTCTCTTTCGGTCCATCGTAAAGAAAAGCGGCAATGCTGTCAAATGGACAAAAATGCATCCATTTTCATACACTTCAATGCAAATAATGAAGAAAAAAATGGTTGTTTGGAACATACCTGGGAGCCCATGCTGCAAACTCATTTTCCCAATTTGGTAGCACAGATTTTGGAGCCAATATGAGATGAGGCCCAGGCACATCTTTAGTCTCAAGAAGATACGCAATCAGTGCAATGGTTTGGATAGTCTTTCCCAAACCCATCTCATCAGCTAAAATTCCATTATAGCCGTTGTTGTATAGAGAGACCATCCATTGAAGCCCTTCTAATTGGTAGGATCTTAGTTCCCCACCTTGTAGAAGGGATGGCTGCTTCGTCACCTGTTAAAAAAGAAAACATTTGATAGCTTGAGTTAAACACACTCAACCATACTCCTATTAAATAGTATAAAGAATCATAATTACCTTCTCTTGTTCTGAATGGATACCCAAGTTATACTGCCTCTCGCCTTGTAGTAAGTCATTGGAATCATCATTATTGTCAGCCTCAATGATCTCAATATCTTGGTCAGATTCTGAGCCTTCCGGTATGTTGATGCCTTGTGTAAGTTTAGCATCTTTCTGACGCTGAACTGCAGCTCCCAAACTAAGAAAGATTTTGTTTGTCTCCTCAAGAAACAAGGTTAGTTTCTCGTTCTTACTCTCCTTTGCTAGTTTCATGTATGCCTCTTGATCATCTGATTTAAGCGCCATGATCCTTAGTTTTTCAGCTCGGGTAGCACGTTTGCTTTGTCTTCCATGCCATGCCTGTTACACAATGTAGATATGTGGCAATGATTTTCTTTTTGTTTTTGTAAAAGTTTGTATACTAATAAGATGAAAGGATTACTCAGATATATGTTCAAGCCCCACGTAGCGTGGGTTTGGCAAGAAAAGTGAGAAATTGAGAAACATAATGGCAGGGATATATTACATACCAGAACATTATCATTTCTTTGCTTACGGCGTTTTTGAGACACCTGAGTCTGCAACTGGAATTCACGAACACCATTGAATACTTCTGCAAAGAATCTCCTCTGTGTTGTTTCAATCAGAATCTTCTCCTCTTCTTCTAACCGTGATAACCTCTGAACAAAGAACTTGAAAGCATCAGCAAGGAGTTCATTAAGTCATTAACAGTTATCACCAAAAGCCGCACTACAATTTTGAGTACAAGTTTTACTTCTACAGCATCCGTCTAACAAAAACAGTTTCAGAACAAGAGAAGAACCGCCTAAGATAGATTACAGCACTTACTCTTATCTGTCCTTCTAATAGGGACATAAGGCTATATCATCTCAGAACACATCAGCTTCCATTCTAAGAAATAGAAAAGTTACCTCAGCATCACGCTTGTATCTGAAATGATCATCAGCTTCCAGAGAGAAAGGATCTGCAACCCCATAGAAAGGGCGAGGCAACCGCATCATGCCCCAGTCATAGAGTTGGGTTTCGGGATGTGCACAGGTCAAACGTAGCCAGTATTCCGAGCTCACTTCATCCCGAACTTTGCATTGTAGCTCTCGTAGCTGCCACACACCAGTCATCAGTGTCAAGATAAATCATCATACTTTTTAAAAGAGATAACTCCTATCCTCACACATACCTTAAGCCCATAGAGCTCAAGTAAGCATTGATCCTGCAAGTCTTGGCCTCTAGTGGAAGGTAATCCTGATTCAACACACAAGAGTGAGCACACAGAACAATTGGTTTTCAAATCTTGAGAATAGGAAAGGCTAAATACAGCAATCACCTTCAAGTTCGGATAATCGGTGCTGGATATGAGTCTTATGCCGAACTTCCTTTAACTCGGTGAGTCGAGATCCTGATTCACAGTTTGGTCGCTGCTTCAAAAGTGCATCTTCGAACTCGCTCATCAAGTCACCTCCATGAGGAGTCGAAGGATTTTCCTGCAAAACGCCAATTAGAGGTAACCCCACAGGCTATTGAATGTATACTCGCGTCGAACCAGAAAATTCGATCCACAATCACAACGAAAACCCAAGAATCCGAACACGGAAGTATACGAAAGAATCAAGAGGAGAAAGCTTACAGGAGGAGGGGAGAGAGAGGCATGGTAGATGGAAGAGACGGAATCGTAGAGGTGAGAAGGCAAGAGGAGGTCGCGAGAAACGTAGTTGAGAGCAGAGATCAGAGACTTGGTCTTCTCCACGGGATCGTCCTCCTGCTTCTCTAGCTGCGTCACCATGGCGGGAATTTCAACTGTCAAACAGAAATTTTTTAAATTTTTGTTTCTTTTGTTGGTTTCGGGAACGTTTCGTTTTTTTACTTTTAGCACCACCGAAAGATTAAAGGGCGAGACGGGAAGAAGTTCGATGAAACCCTATACACGCACGCACTTTCCCCTAAATATCCCCTCTTTCATATGCTTTTACAGAATTACCCTTATTTGTTTTTTGGGCCGGCCTTTTTGAAGCTCAATGATACATTTATTGTAAGTTATTAGGCCCACTCACGTAAGCAATTCATCTTTCTAAGTAAAGTTACTCTGTATACTCGCTTATTCGTAAACCCTAATCGATCCGATCCGAGTGAGAAGCTGAATCTAAAGCTCGTAAAAGCCATGTCGGATCCTTACGAGAGGGTTAAAGGAGGAAGGTTAGCGTTCAAAGGAGGTGATCTAGCCACGAGGAAGTCGATCGAAAAGAAGAAGAAGAAGCACAAGAAGAACAAGGAAAAGCTCGACGATGTCGAGGTCGAGAAGATGGCTCCCGACGGTTCAGCCAGTTCCACCGCCGCCGCCGCTGGAGACGATATTTACTCTATTGACGCCGCGGCGAAGAAGAAGTACGATGAGCTATTTCCCGTGGAGGCAAAGAAGTTCGGTTACGTTCCGAAATCCGTGGCAGAGTCTCTTGAAGATCGTGTCAAGAAGAAGGCCGATCGCTACTGTAAATAGAAATTTCTTACAGAAAATTTGCAGCTGGATTTGGATGCATCGTGTTTGTATCAAACAATTTACTTAATTCCGCTTTCGTTAATCTCCCCTGAAACGAGTTCAGACTTTTACGATTAAAGCCTTTTGCTCTGTGATTTGTATTTTCCATAAAAGACGATGAGTACACTTTTCCACCACTGGAGACAAAATTTAATACCCAAAATTGGGATAATGTAGTATGATGAAAACATAAGCTTGATCCGGATTCTAAAACATCAAATAGAAGTTTTCTCGACATAAATTACATTGCATCACTCTTCTTCAAAAAAACTCCAAATCCACGAGAACAATAGCTTCTTCTTCTTCTTCTTCTGTGGCTCTTTTATCAAGCTTCAAGTCTTTTCACCGCCCTGTTGATGGGTTCTTGGAAGTACTGAAGTGATATGAACATCGCTTCCTGCATATTTATCACCCAATTTTCTCAGCTCAATCATCACCGGAACATACAAGAGACCAGACTCACTTCCGCATAAAAAAACATAAACTCATAACAAAATTCCGCAAATACCTCTGTTCGGATGGTTCGGCTTCCTTGATTTGGACAAGTATTCAAGTATATATTAAACGCATCTCGAACGTTTTTCCCCTGTAAAATTCCAAGTCTTTTTTTCTTAGTGTCCATATCAAAGACACAGCCTTATATCTTTGAAACCTTTTGAATCTCTGTGAGCCAAATAAGAGTTTTGTAACAGAAAACACATTTACCTTATACTGATTATCTTCTTCAATACTTTCTTCAAGCCCAGCGAGTCCACCAAATGCAATCAATAGGTGGCTATGATTTCATGCCACAACCATCTAAGTCAGTCTCTCACATTTAAACTGCTAATAATGTGTTTAGATATAAGCTTATACCATGTTAGGGGAAAATGAGAATCACCTAAATGTTGGTAATTTCAGCTCTGATGAACTAATCTTTAGGCCGTGCTCCGAGGTACCGATCAAATAATCGTAACCACCCTGCTTGGTTTTAGGAAAATAAGGTTATGCGGGAAATATGATCTTATTCATACCAAGAAGGAGGAGCAGAGTATCATTATTCTTACCTCATAAGGGCATTCATTGAATACTGCACTTAAGTGTGATGCATATCGTACTTTGTATCCCCAATACATTCCTGCTTCTTCCATTGGCTTAGAGGGCGGAACAATCTGGCGTAGCAAATCTAAATGAACCAAATTCGAAATTTATAGACTTATTAACATTTTATCTCAAGGAAGATTTGAGAAACAAGGTTTATGATCTTAACTGAAGTTTAAAGACAGATGAGTATGATAATTGATAACTTGAAAGAATATAGAGATTAGCACTTGTCAATACCTAAATCGCGGTCGGTTCCCATGGCTACAGTGACTCTAACTCCTGGACTAATCACTTGATCAACAACAACACTCTGCATCACGAGCATCGAATAAAAGTCAATCACATGCAAAATTTTGGGACACAAAGGGAAAAAGACCCGACTGAGATATCCCAGTTTCAGAGGAACTAACAATACCTTGCTTAAACCGACATCAACCATTGTACTCTCAGAGTTTGGTGCCTTTTCATTCATCGTCACACCTATAATGTTATTATTTCCAAAACAAAGGTGAAACAAAAACTGAAACTACAATATCGCAGATTTTCTACAACAAAGAAAGCTATTAGCTTGATTCTTAATTCTCCACACCAGCTTCTTGGAAGATATTGGTATTTCATATGGTATCTCTAAAGACGTAACAAGCCATTTCTAAGTCTCGGGTTTAAATCAATCTCATTGGATGCCTATGAAACTTTTATATTACCTTCACGGTATTGTTCCCACTCGTGCTTACGCAGATGGTGTGGAGCATCAAGAGGTGGCAACATACCCTGTTAAAGATCACACAACTCTGGTCACAAGACACACTATAGAATATAAATCTAGACAAAATAAAGTGAGACAATAGAAGTAAGTACACACCACATATCTAAGATCATTTTGCTTGGGGAAGAGAGATTTCCTCAAATATTGTGGTGTCTCTAGATACTTCAGGATACGAACGAGAAAGGAGGCACCACTTTCATTGCTATCAGAAGAATTCGTAACAGCGGAGTCGATTTCTGAGCTGCTCTTATTGTCGAACACTACAATCTGATTATAAGCAACAACAAAAAAAAAAGCTTTTGTTGCATACGCGAATCCAATTGAATAGTTTCGATGAAACCCGACCCAGTTACGCGAGCTCTGTGGATGGATATAAGAGGAACAACATACCTCGTCGATTCTAAAAATCGTGGCTGCACGAGCAATTTGGCCGGCGAGCTGAGAAATGTTACAGAAACGCGAGTTTTTAATTGATTCTAGAAATGGAAGAGACAGCTTGGAACTCTCCGGGAAACCAAAACGGAACAAAGAGAAGGAGAGAGAAAGAGAGTACGCGTGTGGCGAGCTCGAGTGATTGAGTGTTGTTGATGATGGAACCAGCTATGGCTAGGCTAACAGTGGGTCTGCCGTGGTTACTCTTCGCTTCTTCATTACTCTTTTCCTCCTCTTGGATTTTAGTTTGCTCCGGCTCAGGCTCAAGCTCCTCTTGGCTTATCTTTTTCTTTTTCTTCTTCTTCTCTTTCTTCGCATCTCCGTCGAGACTCACCTTTTGCTCCGGACCCATCTCCGGATCGTCATGGCTTCTCTTCTTCTTCTTCTTCTTCTTTTCAAAGTCTCCGTCGATTCCTGCTGTTAGCTTAGACTCCGGTTCCAGCTCAGGCTCGTCATGACTTCTCTTGTTCTTCTTCCCCATTTCTGCCGTCGGCGACTGCAGCCGCGGCGAATTTCGCAGGGTTTATTGTTGTTTTGGGTCCTTACTAGATTTATGGGCCTCTATTTCCTTAATACAATGGGCCTGTTTTACGGCCTAATATCCTGCACGTTGCCTTTTATGATTCCTTACGTTTTTAGGTGGACCATTCCTCTCTTACGTTCCGGTTTATAATTTCTTACGATAACCATTTATTGACGGAAACAAGACATTATAATATCAGATGGTTGAAGATTATTTGAAAATTGGTTTGCAATCAATGGTTTGTTAGTTTTTTTTCAGTTTTCTCGAAATGATAGAGAATCTTAAGATTCTTAACAATTAGTACTAAATTTAGGGTAAACCGTTTTCATTTATAATTTTATTAATGCCGAAATGAATTGGACCATTGGTTTAACTGTAAACCAAGTAAGTGCTACGAAACAAAGAACCATAAATAGTTGCTTGCCAGATGACACTGCCCTATTGGACGATAACACAATACCCAAGGAGTCAAAAGGACACTAAAGTCCACCGTCAACGGCGGCGCGTGCTTCCCGTTTCCTCTCAGCGGCGCTTTCCGCTCGACTCTTGAGCCATGTCAGGATGTCACCGTAAACCAGATCGACGTCCTCCTCCGACTCCCCAACAATCTGATGCCACATCTCGGGATAGATCTTGATCGTCTTATCCTTGCTGGTTGCTCGCCGATGAAGCTCCTCCACGCACGCTTGGTCGCAGACAACGTCTCCTCCGCCGTGCACGATCAGAAGCGGAACCTCCACCTCCTCGAACCTCTCCTGCAGCTCCTTGCAGATACGGATCAGCTCGTAGGCCGTGGCGGCGCGTGGTCTCGCCACCGTCCTCCTCGGGCTGGCGAGCGCGAGCTTCCTCTTCCATGGCTCCTTGAAGGAAACATCGGGGATAGATCCGCGAGTAGGAACGACGCGCCAGGTAGGGATAAGGTTGGCGACGACGAATAGCAAGTGCTCCAACGGCCACTGCGGCTTGAATTTATCGCTGATTCCGCACATCCCACCATTAAGGATGAGTCCGTCCCAGGCGCCTTTCTGGCGGAGCGAGATGTAGAGCGCGATTGCGCTGCCCAGGGACTCGGAGTAGAGAAAACACGGCAGATCCGGCGTCTCCTGGCGCTTGCGGAAGTCGTCGAAGAAGGAAATGCAGTCATCGACGACGGGGTTGATGTCAGGGATATGGGCGACGAGTCCGTCGGAGAATCCATGGCCCTGGTGATCGATCGCGCAGGTGATGTAACCTGATTTGGCAAAGAGGATAGAGGTGAGCTGGATCATCCAGCTGGTTTCGCCGGTGAAGCCATGAACGACGGCAACGATACCGATCGGGCGAGTTGGAGGGAGTGGGGACCACCACTGGGTGAAGAGCTTGAGGCCACGAGCGTTGGTGATGAAGGCGGAGGAGTGGCTAACGGAATGCTTCGCGTAGAATTCCTCGGCGGAGAGGGAGCCGAAGGGATTACGCTCGTCGGCGTCGGCGACTGGATGCAGACCCATTTTTTGTTGTTAATTTTTTTTCCCTCGTCGATATCTCTGAGGTTAGAGAGAAAAAAGGGTGTGTGGGGTTTGGTTTGGTTTACCGTTGAGGATTAAATGACGTTTCATAAATGAGGCTAGGATCTGGTGGTGTAGGGGCACATGCTTTTAGTGTGGACGCGAACTACTCCTGATTTTGGGCCCGGTTCGTTTTCAGTTTCAAATCATTTTTGGGTTCAAATTGTTTTTTACTGTTTTTGAAATTAAAATTTAAGATATTCATTCTGTTAAACCAATAATATTATTGGGTCAAATTTCCGATTTAGGTAGTAAGGATTTGATAAGGAGGAAAATATCTGATTTTAATATATTTATTATTTAGTCAAAATTAGTTGTATACATGTTTAGTCATGGCTGTCCACTATCAATGTTCTAAAACAATATCTGAACTTACTATATCTACCATTGGTTTCATTCCATTTATATCAGTTAAAACTGGTATGTACATACATGTTTACATCATGCATGGCTGACCACTGTCAATTTCCATAGTAACAAGAATATGGCATTTTTCTTATCCCAATTACAAGAAGAACGTGGTGTCTAGATTACTCTAGAGTCTTTTAATCTACAACTAGATGGTTGGCCCGTACATATGTGCGAGTATAATATTTTTGATACACATAGTTAAAATATTAGTATATTTGTATATATATATATTATTTTTGTATTTCATAATTATTTCTGAAATTAATGTATTTTAAAAACTTTTTATTTTTATGAAATTTGTAATAATATATAATCAAAATATAAAAATTATATTAAATAATAATTAAATCTTATAATATTTTTTGAATATTATTTATAATATGTTTTATTTTACCTTACATAATCTACAATAATTTTTTACGTCTTACATAATATGAATTTGAAATACGTATATAATATATTTTTAAGTATTTTTTTATTTATTGTAAATTAAACTGAAATACTTTTTACCATTTTTACTTATCCTTAGAGCGGATAGATAGTTGACATGCATATGTGGGGGTACCAACCACCTCACTACTCTTAGAATAGATAAAGATTTTTTTAAAAAATAAATTGTACTATAAAAATTAAAATATATATTAGACTGTAATCAAACTTAACGAATACTAACATGCACGAAAAAGTTCATGTGACTTCTACTAATACACAATTAATATATATGTATGTACGCGTATTTTTAAAAAAGTCGAAATATGGCTCTTACATGTTAAAAAGTTTTTACGTGACTTTGTAAAACAAAGTGCGAGAGATTTATTTTTATACACTTCTATTTTTAATTCTTATTCATATTTATTTTATCTTATTTTAATTTATTATTTCGTTTGGTTATTTTTTATTTTATTTATGATCTCAAATTTCTGATATACAGTAAAAAAATTACGAATATATATATGAATATGATATATTTTTTTATATTTAAAATATGATAAGAGATAAGATGAGATGGTAACATAAGTTATGTATATTTTAGAAAACAACAATAAAAATATGATAAAAGTTTTATAAAAATATATGGTCCTATTTATATTATAAAATAATAGTTAGTATATACTTTATTCATTTAGTAAATATTGGTTTGAAAAGAAAATTTACTTTAAATTACGTTTTTAAAAAAATTTCAATAAAAGTTGATTATTTTTTATTATTTTTAACATTTTATTCTTTAAATTATTTTTCTCATGATTGTATTTTATTTGAAATTGTATTATTTAATAGCTTGTTTATTTAAAACTTGTTTAGATGTTATTACTATATTTTGTAAATTAATAACTTTCCAAAATAAAAATATATCATAATTCAAACATTATTAATATATAAAATCTTTACTATTCTATTGGATAATTTAGTATTATTTTTTCGATTTCATATATATATATATATATATTGTTTTTGTTGAAAACATTTTTTAATTATATTTTAGGAAATTATGATTATATATAAAACATTAAAATCATAATAATAATTATTTTCTGTTAATTTAAAATTTATTAATTTTAGTGTTATAAGTATAATCTAGTGTTTTTATGTTTTAATTTCACAAGTTCTTTAATTTTAATTCAACCAATCAAAACATTTCATTTATTTTAGGAAGTTTGACATATCACTTTTACATATCATCAATTAAAAGCAATAACTTTTGCTGTAGTGTTGACAAGTTTATAGTATTGACAAATCAGTTATTTTTAATAATGTTACTTCTCAAATAATAGGTAGTGGATCTCCAATTTTCTTCATCTGGTATTTCATTAATAGAACCAAATACAAATTGAAATACATAAAATAGAAATATGAATATCTGAAGTCTCCAATTCTAAGAATAAAAAAATCGAAGAATAACCTTTTAAAATTGTTAATAATATTATTATTATTATACAAGCAAGAGATGAAACCAATATCGCTCGCCGCCATACCCTTCCTAAAGCTCTGCACCTGGGGTTCTTTTAATGTTTGTTTCTCTTATACGTACCCTATGAATAATACTACACAAATATAAATTAAAAGTTTGTACACGAAAGAAAGACACTTCCCAAATATATTAAAACAAAAAAAAATGCAATTTTTCTAACATCACAAGGAAGTATCGAAATCTAAGTAAATAACGGAGGTGTTGTCCTTTGTACGCATCACTCTAGCTTCATTCAGTAGACCGTTTGCTATTTTCTCTGCACTATTCTCTGTACCTCTCTCTCTCTGTCTCATCTGGCATATTCATTTTAAAACATACTAAAACATGAGTCTGATGTTTTCAGACAGAGAGCCTTGGTTGATTCAAGTTGAAGTAGAAAATGTTTTACCTGAAGCACCAGCTGCACAGCTTTCTTTGGACTCACCACATCCCATAACCCATCACTGCGGAATTGTTTTTTTTTTTATTTTTTTTATTCAGGTTTCTAGAGTTAGCGAAAAAGAAAGAGAAAACGGGAAAAGCTCATTATGTCAATAGTATGTGTTTTCTTTTTACCTAGCCAATACTGCAAACACGTCTTTACTAGATTGATCAATACGCAAAGGCTCACTTATATATGGCTCTGCACTGAAACGGCTATCTTGCTGCTTTGGAAATTTGTCTCCGAGCATCCTCGCAAGGTTTATACCTGAAGAAAATTATCAAATCAGATTTGGTCATTATGTTACAGTGGAGTCAGAATCAGACGAGTGTTTAATTCATTGAGCTAATACCAAATATCCTAGTCTCTCCATCTCTCAAGGATAGTCCTGCTTCTTGGATTCGTCTTCTCTCGGTCAAGCTAGTCACTCGATGATCTTCAGTCATTTGTATACATCTTCCATCAAGGCTGCCAAATGGATACCAAATCGTAATCAATTAAAAATAAAAGAAAGAAACCACTAATATATGTAATGCTGAGATCTGAGAGCAAAACAACTATCTAATAGAGTTAAAGAAGAAGCATAGATCTCTCATCTATTGATGTCTATTTACTCATCTACTGATCTCTCGTCATGATTAGAATTAATCTACTGTTTCCAACACAATAGGCTTTCATTAAGACACTCACTC